CTCAACCCCCATTGGTGTGCGTTATTGTGTCCTCCAGTTTAATGTTGTAAGCTCTTAACACCGTAACGGGAACGTTATGCAAAAAGAACTTTCATAATACACAACTCCATGGCCAGAGGTTGAAATTATCTAATTTCCTCAACCCTTTTACCCCAAATAGTACTTCGCATTCAAGATGGTGAGATTTCATCATCAAGCAAAAAAATTGTTCCACAATATATGTGTAATGCTTTGCCATCTTAAATGCAAAGCAAGGACCTTCTAGTTTTTAGAATGCTTCATTTAGATGCCTTTCGATTCCTTCAAGAAATCAAAGAATATCTTGGTGAACTTGTGATTCCAATACCATCTCTTAAAGCTATGTTTTCCTTATAGAGTCCTGCATTTTTCTTACCTCTCATCTTCTTCACCAACTCTGTTTCTTAGCCTCCTTGTCTTTTCCTCTTCTCTAGGCAGCAACCTCCTCGAAGATGGCGTTGCTTAGACTGCTCCCAATCACTATGACTACTCTCACTCTAGATCTTCCTCCTTCACATGAATCTCTTCAGCAATTTTTCCTTCCTGTTTCTTTGTTACCTTCTGTTTTCCATCTTGTTTCTTTGTTTTCTTATGTGTTCCTTCTTGTTTGTAGTTTCTTTGTTTCCTTTTGTTCTTGCTTCACGGTCTCTAATGAGGTATAGATTTGAGACTTCACATTAGTCTTCTTCGTCAACCGGTTTCGCCTAAAAACTTTGACATTATAGCATTTGTTTCCTATGTTACTGAAAACCAAGAAATCCCCATCTACTAAACAATGACCGGTGACGAACTCAGGCCAACCATTGTCAAACAAAACATCACCAAGTTCCTGTCGCTTTTCATTACCACCGCCCATGTCTTCCCAGTTTCATCTTCGAGAGTCTCGTTCCTCTTCGTAATCCTCCTTCCCAATCCCTTTGCAGCAGACCATGGCGACAACAGTTGCAGAGTTTCGGGGAAAACATAAAAATATGGGAGATTTATAGTTCATAACCACGGAAACAAAAAAAGAGAGCATAATGGTACGTGAAACTCAGTTGCTTTCTTATCATGCAAGAAAGTGTGAGTACTACCAATGTCAATTAAGATTAGTAGTCTAGGGGCAAGCATCGGTTTGGTTTGGTGCCAATCAAACCGTAAAGGAGTATGTCGGGTCTATCAAATGGTCTGCAACTGAAACCGAATTTGAACCAAAATATAATTCAGTTCGGTTTAGTCGAACTAAAATTAATTTCTGTTTGGTTCGAAATTCCGAAAAACCCAAACTTCTAGAGGCTTCCCTTTGTGGCAGAAAGGGTAAGCGGCGGGCCAGGAGCCAGGAGAAATGATGCGGTGGTCGCCTGAGTGGGAGGAGGAGAACAAGACGAGGAATTGAGACAACAAATAATTAAGGAGAATCCGACGATTACTACATATGGCTAAACTGGGTTGGATATATTTTAAGCTTCTTCACCACCAAATCCATGTGACCCATTGCTGCTAGGTTAGTTGCTATTGTGTGGATCACATTGGAGAAAGTGAAGGGAGTCTGAATGGAGGTTCTCGGAACTGGAATTTAGAGAGAGAGGGAGAAAATAAGTTTTCTATAATTAAGTTGGATCAATGAATTTTGGATGGTGGTGTCTTGGTGGGGCGGAGAGAGTGGGGATTGGGGAAAACTGGAAATGCGTTATTAGTGATTAGGGTAGGCTGTGAGAGGGCAAGGGATGGGGGATTTTTGGGTTGAGGCCTGATATTCGGGTGGGCTGCGAGGTTTCTGGTGGAGAAATTTGGGCTTAGGTAGTGGGCTGTGTATATTTTTTCGGTTCGGAATTAGGTTCGGTCGACACAACCCTGGTTTCCGAAGTATGCCTTTTTCGTTTCCGAATTCCGATCCGAATAGGATATAATTTCGTTTCGCTCGGTTTGGTTCAGAATAGTGAAACCGAACCAGATGCTTGCCCCTATAGTAGTCTATGCTTCCCTATCTTGCCTTTGACTACTAATGAGTTGGCTAAGCTATCACTGCTCAAGGATTGCATTGACACTTCCACGTGTTGCTCTTTCACAGTTTTTTCCACTATCTCACTAGCCTTATCGTTACTCCAAGCCATTGGAGTAACACTCCAACATCAGTCTCTTCACCTTGAAATATATTCAGTTGTCTCTTAGTTTCGTCCAAAGAAGTAATGGTCCCCACATTTGTAACACGAGCCTTTAGGATAGTTGTTTCTCTGAACAATAGGAGCAGAAATAGACTTACTAAGTATAGTACAACAACCTTCAAATTCTCCCATTTCCTAGGGAAGAAGCACCCCCAATAGCAACAACCCCACCTTGTGGCTTAAAGCTGACATTTCTCCATTTTCATAGTCGAGCTTCATTAGAGTTCTCCTTTAATTTTGCTACTTGAAAAGCATGAGGTAAGGCATGAGGCTGCATCATACTGACTACCGATCTAAACTTTTCATCTAATCCACTGGTAAAACTGGAAATGAAGTATCCTTATTCTAAGTCAGGATTATAATGCATCATTTTGGAACTTCAATTCCTCAAACCTTTCTCGATATTCCACAAAAGAGCCTCGCTGCCTAACTTGCTAAATTCACCAACTACACCTCCATACGACCAATCACTGAACCTGTTGCACACGCTAACAAAATATTCTTCCCAAATCAGTTCACGACAACCTGCTTTCTAGCCTTCAAACCATATATCTAGACGACTCTTGAAATGAATCGCGGCTAAACTAACTTGCCGATCCGTCGAAATTTTGTAGATCTCAAATAACTTTTCACACTTCCGAGTCCATTTCCTAGGATTCTCACCAAAGAATGAAGGAAAACCGAGACGAGGAAGTTGATAGAAATTGTTACCACAGTTCGGTGCTATATTCTCTAGATCTGCAACTTTATTTTTTGGAACTAGAGCGTGAGGCAGAGGCTGCTTCTCTATGCGAGCCGTTCGAATCACTGGTTGAGGAAGAATCCCTCGGTTTTCATTCCGGTCCACCAGTGGACCTCCCGCACCAGCAACGACCAACGTGGGCGAGGTTGACCGATAAAGTATTATCAATGCAAGTGATTTGCGTCCAATTATACACATTTTAACCCTCATACCTTGATAGTTTGGCTTTGCATTTCATCGTCCCTCGATATATTTCATGCTAGATTGTGCTTGTTTTGATACATTTCAGGTCCTAGCATGTATGGGAAGGTCGAGGACGAGTTTCGGGTCGATTGGAGGTCGAAAAGTGCCAAAAAGTGAAAGATCGTAACTATTGCCTCGGAACCATGAACATCGAGGCGTCCAGCGAGGTTCCAAAAGTTACTGACGCCAAGGGAGTTCACGGTCTCTAAGACCGTGAACTTGGAGCAAAAACCGTGAACCCAAGAGAGTGAAGCGGTGCATTTTGAAGACGACACTGAGTTCACGGACGCGTTAAGGTGTTCACGGCCGTGAACTGGTCACTTTCGGGCAAATATGAAGACAATAACGGGAAGAGAGAAAGGGGAGCTGGTTTTGGGAGAAAGAACACTTTCTTTCTCTAGGATTTCAATCCAATACACCAAAGGGGAGTTCTAGTGAGAGAGGAAGTGATCTTGGGGCTTAGTTGAAGGCATTGATCAAGCTTTGAAGCTAGGAATCAAGCCTAGAAGAAGAAAAAGAAGATCTATAGGTTTCTTTGTAATCTCTCCTCTCTCTAGAAACTCGCCCTCTTCTCTTGGGTTTAAGAACCCTAGGTCTAGATTTGGGTTCAATGTTGATGTATGTGACAAACTCCATGATTGATTGACGATTTTACTTAATTGATGGATGTTTTCATGAATGACATGAGTTGGGGTTCCATTTTCATGTATCGAGCTTTTGACCTAGGAGGGAGATAATTCCCTTAGAGCCCCCTTTTGGCGTCTTCGGGTCACTCCTATCGTATATTGTTCGGGTAGTCCCCGATGGAGTTTATTTGACCGGTCTCCTAGTATTATACGAAACCCTAGGTTGAATAGAGCACTACCCATCCATCGATTCGCCGTTCCGGGTCATTCCCGAGGGAGTCCATCCCCAAATGGTTGTGTATTTGAGTCTATCGAGCTAGGAGGATACCCAACATCGATCCAAAGGACGAACCTAGAAAGATTCAACCCAAGAGAGCTCTCACCTTTTAAATAGCTGGGTTAGTGGTTAGTCAAGGTTAGTTAGTTTAATTCTATCAATCACTATCCTAGGTTGGCTAGATAACGAACCCTAAACCTAAAGTAGGATAAGCCTAGATCCCCGTGTTACGATAAATTCTTATTGCTTGCTTTCCCTATGCTACACCCGGTCGTCGGTTATACTTGGTCGTCGACTAGGATGTTGTAGTTAGAACGAGTCAGCAAGACTTCGTCGTATCGATCATCAAAGCCGTCGAGATTACTTGTGTTGTTCGCCAGCTGAAGCGATTGACCTTCAACACTAGTAGCTAAATCGTGTAATTAAACATAATTTCTTCATAATCTTTGACCAGTAGCCATATGTGTTCATCCATGGCGATTGTGTGTATCCTCATGTGTGTGTTGATCTCCTCCAGTCTCGTTTCCACCATTGTTGTGCGATTCGTAAGTGAAACCAGATGCTCTTTTGTTTGCAATGTCACCATCTTGTCGAGGGACAACCGTCAGCTCTGATACCACTTTGCAATGTCCCAGTTCGATGGATCCAAATTCGACTCAAAAATTGGAAATGGCAGTGATGAAAATTGCTCGTCCAATGCTCGAGTTGCACAAAGAAGAGAAAAGGGGAAAGCAATAGAGAGAAAAGAGAGAGAGAGCGAAAAAGAAAGAGCAAGAGCAAGAGGAGGGAAAATATGTTATTCATCCAGGACGCGTGTACTTCTACCCGTCCTGGTGAATTACATTTCGACCCCCAAAGTTTGTAATTTCACTTTAACAGTTTAATACCCAACTTCTATTTATTTACAATCAAGAACCAATTGTTACAAATTCTAATGAGAAGCGGCGACCATGTTTAATGTTGTGAAAAGTACTACAAGTTGGCTGGAGTTGTTTTCAGCGAGGAAGACTTTAAAGAATTATGACGAGAAGCGTCAAGCAGTTCCGCTTTCTCGGTCCGAGAAGTGCATTGTTGGAACTGGATTGGAACGCCAAGTGGCCCTCGATTCTGGGGCCACCGCTATAGCCGAACATGAGGGGCGGCGACTCTCGACGGTGGTGGCCAAGTTCAATGTTGTGAGAATAGATAGAAACAATGGTTGTCACGCCAGTGGCAAGCCGGTCGGTTGAACCTGGTTCAATCGATGCCGGTCATGAAACCGGCGTTAACACCACCGGTATGACCGACATGATTGATTTATGACCTCTAAGTAAAATGATATTATTTTAATAAATTTAATTATTTTATTATTTATGAGTTTAGAAATTAAATATTGATGATATTTGTTGGATTCAAATAAAATGTTTAGGTATTGAAGTTAAATGTTGTATTTAATATGAGTATTTGTTATTTTATGTGACACATTTTATCTAAATATGAATATGAATTGGAAGTTAATTATTTTCAAATATTGTTTATATATGATTAAATTCATTTGATATTAATTGCTTTTCACATTTCTACATGTTTTATTAAATCGAAATGAAATGATACAATGAGTATACAATCGATCGAACCATTTCACTTGCTAAACTAATGCAATGATATAAACCGCCACCGGTTTGGCGTGCATATGTTCGTTTATAGAAAATGGGGCGGGGGAGATAGGGCTATTAATGAACCAAGCCGCTCATGAACGGCTCGGTGTGCGACTCGAGAAAAACTCGTTCGACACTCGATTCGTTTTAATCGAGTCGGCTCGCGAACAAGCTCGTTAACTAAACGAGCCGAACTCGAACCATACCTTAAGCTCGAAAGCTCGCGAACAAGCTCATTTAATGGTTTGGCATAAAAAAAAGGATTATAATTCATGGATTTTATGTATTGAAATTGGGATAAATACTTTGCTAGACTTTGCTACAGGTTTGAATATAATTTTGTGCGCAGTTCTAGGTCAATCTTGAGCTATCATGAACATTTTATGAGTTGAACTCGATTTAGGGCTCGTTAAACTTATTTGACGAGCCGAGCTCGAGCCTTCATTTTCGTAAACGAGCCGAACTCGAGTCTGGAAAAATATTAACGAGACAAACCTGAACTATGACAAAGCTCGGCTCGAGCTCGGTTCATTAATAGCGCTAGTGGAGGGGATGTTGACGTTCCTTTGACTAACTTGAACAAATAAAAAGCCGGGCTGACCATCCATCACTTGTATAAGTATGGCCGCACTTAACACTATTGCTGTGCATGCAGAGTGATCAGATGGCTCTTACCGGCGACCGGAGACGCGACGGCGACGGCAGCCCCTTGGTGGCCGGAACCCGGTTCTTCAAAATCATCCTTCAGAGCACACTTAGTGACAGAAAGCTCGTAAGCATAACCAACCCTTTAATAAGTTCCACACTTCCACCTATTTAACCAAAAATTGATTTTTCCAGCTTCGTTTTGTTCACTTGCATGCTAAACTTTGCAGTTGATTCCTGGTGAATTCGTCCGAAATCAAGGCGAGTACTTGCTGGAATCCGCTATTTTGAAGGTCCCAAGTGGCGCAACGTGGGCGGTGGATGTGGTTAGGGACGAAATCGGAGTCTGGTTCAGCAATGGATGGCAGGAATTCGCGGAGTTCCACTCTTTGGAATTTGGGCATTTTCTGGTTTTTGAGTATGAGGGTTGCTCCAGGTTCTCTGTGGTTATATGTGATAAGACCGCAGCTGAGATTGCCTACCCAATTCCTACAACTTCTGAACCAAATGTGGAAGAAATTGAGGATTCCTTTGATACACGCATAAGAAAGAAGTCTAAACCCTTAAGTGAGGTTTCTCCGCGTCAAGCTAAGAACAAGAAGAAGAGGATGAGGGGCAGTATTTCTGCTGAGAATGCTGCAAAAATAGGATCTTGGACACGGATCGTATCCCAGGCTGATGGCTGTAAGAGGGTTTATGTTTTAACGTGTTCTTTTTGTTATTGTTTCTTCTGACATAGGACTGTTCTTATGTTGTTTATGTTGTGTTTCATTTGACCGGGATGATCGGAATTCTGAAGCTGATGATGAACAAGATGGTGAGTCCAAGAGGATGATCTCTGAAGAGCCCTCCTGCACGACAAAATGTAAAGCTATCACCGGATTCACCTCACCACATCCGTTCTTTGAAGTCCAAATCACTACAAGTATGCTGAAAAAGAGGCATCTGGTACTTCTTCAATTGATTTCTATAAGCTTGGTCGGTTGTGTTTTGTGGTGTCATAACCATTTGGCTAACATTAATTTTGGGATTTTTGCAGCATGTGCCACAGAGCTTTTCATCTAGGCACATTGCACGGGATGAGAAGGTGGTGGAGCTCCAGATTAGGGATGAAACTTGGCCCGTTACGGTATCTTGGAAGCAGAACAAGTATGTTAGATTTGCCGGTGGCTGGTTTAGGTTTGTGAAGGAGAATTTGGTGAAGCCGGGGGACTTTTGTGTCTTTGAGTGCATTCGCAGGTGGCCTAATGTGATCCTGAAAGTCACAATTGTGAGGGAATGTGTTTAATTTTAGATTCTGCCTGTTGTTTGTTGTGTCTTTTGGAATACTGGTGCATGTTTTTTGCTTTGCTTGTGTAGAAAATTTGCACCAGGGCAGAAAACTTGTTAATGCTTCATGTGGACTGAGGATGCATGACATCTGTTTGCCTTGCTTTATTTGTTTCTTCAGTTCCATTTCTCTGTGTTCAGCTGCCAATGAATTTATGAGAAAAGGAAACAGTGATCAGATAACTAATCTCTTCCATTTGGGCGGGAAGTTAAGTTCTGTTCATTTTTTCTTTATCTGCATTTATCAGCTGGATTTGGAACAGAAGAGCAGCAAGGGGCTTATCTAGATCCTTGGACGATCCCCCAACGGTTCAAAATATGGGTACTACCGTGGTCCCCCAGATTTCCCACAATTAGAAGTGGCACATACACGATAGGGGTGGTGCGGTTCGGATTTACCGAACCGAACAAAAACTGGCTGAAATCGAATTTACCCTTTATTAGGTTCGGAATTTGGACTGAAATAGAGCATATTTCGGGAGACACCTTCTTGTGAACCGAACCGAACAATCGATTTGCCGACCGATTTTTCGAATCTTCAACCTATGTGATTTGTCTAGACCCCAGAGCCCACTCCCAGGCTCAAGTTCCCAAACCCAGCCCAATTGTTTAACCCTCAGCACTCAGCCCATTCTCTGATACTGATAGCCCAAGCCCCAATGCCCGCCCAGCCCAAGTCCCAACCCACCCAGCCCAATTGATCCATTCCATTTCCACTTACCTGACCCGACACCCAGGCCTCAGCAGCTGAGCAGCAGCAACCCTAACTCATCCTAATCGAAACAACATCAGAGACAGAGTCCATCTTCAGTGCCACTCCCACTTGTAACCCCGCTCCTGACCGGCGATCTCTTCCACAGTCCAGAGAGGCAGAGACACACCGGCCGGCGGCCACCGCGATTCGTCGTTTCTCCACGGGCGACAGGGACGACCTGACTTGCGGGCTGCGTCAGCCCACCTGCTCCATCCATCTCTCTCCCACCGCACTCGCCGCCGCCCCACCTCCCACCCAGTTCCACCGACTCTCCCGTTGGCCGCCACCACTCGCGTCTCGCAACCGCATCCACCGCCCGTACTCGCGTTCGCAGCTCCGCATTGCCCAGTGCTCCATTCTAGCCGGCGGCAGCCATAGCAAGACGAGAGGAATGGAGATTGCAGGGGACAATATTTATTTACATCATTTCCAGCAGCAAGTGACAAATTTCCAGCAGCAGGCTGGTACCCTCGACAGGTAAAAGTTTAAATGAGGCAACAGGTTTTCGGTTATGACTAAAAACCGAACCGAATAGTATTTCGGTTCGGCCAAACCAAACTGAAATACTATTCGGTTCGAATTCGGTTGGCCCAAGACAAAATTCGGAATACCGATACTTCCTTCTTCGGTTCGGTTCAAACCAAACCGACCGAACGCCCACTCCTAATACACGACACCTAAAGACTTCATTGAACCGTTTTCAGCAAAGAAAGAAAAAGCAAGCTGTCCCCTAACTGCATCAGGCAGCCTGATAGAGATTCAACACCTCTTTTCTTTTCCTCACTCTGTCTTCCTCTTGCAACGTTTCTCCTTCTCCTTTCTCTTCTTCAAACCCTACAAAGCAACAAGTGTTTCTCCTCCGGAGTTTGGGATATCTTGTTGCCTGGAAACCAACCTCAAACATGGCTCATATCTTGAAGCATCTCACTGAGGAGACAGTGGCATTGAAGAAACTGGTAAGCTGTTTAAAGTTGTCCTTTTTCATGTTCAAGATTCCACTTAGGGTTTTGTGAACCTTGTTAACTCACTCCCAAAGTTTGCCTGTTCTTTTATGTATCAGCTGATTCCACTAGAGTTTGTCAGTAAATGTGGGAGGGTAAATCTGACCAGCCCAGTAGTATTTGTGAAAGGAAATGGTGATCTTCTGCTACTGCAAACTTGAAGAGTGCAGATGGATACAAGAAGACTGGCTAAAGCTTCTTTTAACTCTAGCCAAAGTACAACGAAGAAGGCACTAAGAGCGACGACGTTTTGTACTAAATGATACAACCTCATAAGGCAGAACGTCGTCGCATTGGTAGCCATGTAATTAGAATAAGCTTTGAATCGTAGTTAGACAAATGGCAGTCATTGATGGGTTAGTTCAATTGATTAGTTCATTTACCGTTAATGTACAGTGTAATCGTCTTCTTTGATATATATATACATATGAAACCTTCACAGAGGAAAGGCATCTTGCCGATTCCCACAATACATGTTGTTCATTCTTCCCTTCAAACCCTAGCATTGGTTGAGCTAGGTTAAATTCTTCTCATGGTATCAGAGCCTGGTGGCTTCTGATTACCTTTCCATTCTAAACTTCTATTTATTCTTCCTACATTTCTTCTCTCTCAATTCTTCTTCCTCTAGCAAAACATGTCTGGTAAGAGTACTGAAGACAGTGGTGCTACTGAAAGGGAGATTTCATCACCTAGGTATGAAGATTCTTATAGCAACCCCTTTTATTGAGCACATAGTGACAACTCTTTTCTTCGTGTCATAGGATTTAAGCTGAATGATGATAACTATCTCCTCTGGAGTGAGTCCATGGAGGTGGCGCTGCAAACCAAAAACAAACTAGGGTTTGTTCTGGGTACGATTCAGGTACCAAATGCTTCTTATCCTTCTTTTGGAACCTGGGATAGGGTTAATGGAACTGTTGTTTGCTGGATTCGTAACTCTGTTTCAGAAGATATAGTACCTAGTCTTCGAAATATTAATTTGGCATCTGAGGCTTGGAGGTTCTTCTTATGGTGCAAACAGTCCAAGCAATACTCCTGAAAGTCCAAACAAGTTTGGGGGTTTTACTAATGAAGAGTTAATGCGTCCCTAAGCATTGCTCCAAAACCCTCAACAGCCTCCATCACCCTCTTCCATGGCCAATTCTATCATAGCTAAAGGGGCTTCAGTGTCAGGTACAACAGTACTCTCAAACTCTATTACTGATGGTAGCAATGATGTTTGGGTACTTGACACTGGTGCTAGTGATCATATAGTGTGTTCTATGAAATTTTTTCTGAGATGTAGACAAGCTAAGGATCTGTCAGTTACTTTACCAAATGGACAGAAAACCATAGTAACACACATAGGCATAGTAAAACTGCAATGTGGTCTCTTTCTTACCAATGTTCTTCTTGTCCCATCCTTTAGTTATAACCTGATTTCTATCAGTAAACTCACCAAACACAGTCCATTATCACTCATATTTGAATCCAATTTTTGTTGCATTCATGACCTAATCTCTCAATAGAGGATTGGTTTAATCCACGTAGATAAGGGGTTGTACCTACTGGGAGAGAACACACCACCTGGAGAGAGTTCGAGACCACATGTTTTTGGAGTGACAACTAGACAAAGCTCAGACCCATGGCATACCAGACTAGGACATCTTTCCTTACCAAGACTGCAGGAGATACATAGACAATGTAATGAAGTAGTAGTACCGAACTTGAGTGACTGTGAGGTTTGCCATATGGCTAAACAGAAACTATTACCTTTTGATAGGAGTACAACAATGGCTGCTGCCATATTTGATACAGTACATGTTGACATCTGGGGGCCAGTTAATGTTGTGTCCCATGATGGTTTTAAGTATTTCCTAACAGTTGTGGTAAACAGATTAAGGTAATCAAGTCTTAAGCTCGTGATCTATTGGCGTGCACAGTGGATGCCTGGCAGCTTGAGAGGGCGTGTGAAAGGAAATGGTAATCTTTTGCTACTGCAAACTTGAAGAGTGCAGATAGATACAAGAAGACTTGCTAAAGCTTCCTTTAACTCTAGCCAGAGTACAGCGAAGAAGACACTGGGAGCAACGACGTTCTGTACTAAATGATACAACCTCATAAGGCATAACATCGTCGCATTGGTAGCCATGTAATTAGAATAAGCTTTGAATCATAGTTAGACAGATGGCAGCCATATATATATGAAAACCTCCACAGAGGAAAGGCATCTTGCCGATTTCCACAATACAGGTTGTTCATTCTTCCCTTCAAACCCTAGCATTGGTTGAGCTAGGTTAAATTCTTCTCAGTATTGGAACCAACTGGTGGAGATCCGCTAGAGGTAGAGGTGGAGCTCTATGAGGATACTAGCAGGTTTTGGCTGAGGAATGGTTGAGTACAAGAGCTACTCCAGGTTCAAGCTTGTGCTGCTTGGTGCGAATGGCCTGGATTTGGATTTTCCAGCTTCTAGTTTTGTCAATGTTGGATCGAATGGAAACCAGGAGTTTCCGGAGTGTCCGGAGGCTGAGGAAGAAGAAAAGACTGTCAATACAGACTTCGTGGAGTTCTTGGGATTCTTGTCATAAAATGAGTCCCCTATTATTTGGAATCTCTTTGGGTTTTTAGGTTATTATGGTTTGGTTTTTGTTGGCAGGCACCTCTTTTGTTAAAGGCATGAACAACAGCAACAACAATGGAGGTGGTGGAAGAAAGCAGGCACAGCTGCAGTCTGGTGAAAATGCCAAGCTTAATGAGTGGACAAGTGCTAGTGAGTGTTGGTTCAGCACATAAACAGGGAAGGGAGAGCTCAATTTTGATCATCCTTTTTCATCAATGTCTACAGGAAATAGAAGACCTAATGATGGAGGGAAAAGGAAAGCAGACTGGGAAACTGGCGCATTATAGCTTCTAATGCGTCGAGAGAACTATAATCTACTTTACTTCTACTCCTAAATTTACTACAAATACTACTAAACTGGTTTATTATTCATTGACGTATCAAAACCAAAGAACAACGTACATATTTATAGAACTCTCTCACAAACCCTTTCCCTCCCAAACAAGGTAAACTAATTCTAACCCAACAGGTAAATAATAACTTCCTCAACAAGACACAAGAAACTAATACGAATATTCTAAATAACCATTATAATCTAACAATTAACTAATAATAATACCCTAATTACTAAGCCCAACTCGGCATAAGGCCAGTCGGGAGTTATAATACACCAAACCTCCCCCCTTGAAAAACTTCGTTCCCGAAGTTTAAGCGCCATCTCAACCCGGATCGATGAAGAAGAAGCTTCCATGTAGCTTGTGATGGACGATGACAAGGCTTGGACGATGACACCCACGCTTGCCATACTTCCAATTACGCTCCAGAACTCGGACATAGCCCACATCAGCAGCTCCTATGATTCTTGACTTCCCTGAAACCACATCCGATCCAATCATCCCATCAATTGTGCGCCCAATTGCCTCAACGACCATTTCACCTACTTCATGCCCATGCACACGAGAGCCCCACCAATATTCATTAGCAAATTTGTTCATGTTCTGCATGCCATTCTTCAAAAGGAAGATTTCATTCTTAATTTCACTTTATTCCTTCTTCAAAACCCTCGTGATCAAAACTTGCACAGGAGGACTCTCATCCCATTGTAAAGAGTTTTTCTCTTGTTTCTTGTCCACGCTAGGTGTGCTGACCGAGACGATCGATGATGGTGGTGTGGTCATGGATGAAGCAACGAAATCGAGTTCGCTCCCGCCCGGATCAAACTGAAACGCAGACACACCTCTCATCCTGCATACATGTTTCTGCTGCTCATAGCTTTCCGTAGCTAGCGATCTTATTGGCTTGGAAGTTTGAGGATACTTCGAGTCGACTACGTCGGCATCCGGGGCAAGATGGAGGGTATGACTCCTATGGATTTCAGTTGGGTCCGCCAAAACTTCACGCTCAGCTAAGTACCCAAAATTTCTTTCAATTTTGGCGGTAGAAAGAGATGGCTCCATGGCGAGGTTCACAGTGATTGTGGTAGTTGGTGGTCAAATCGGCATTTCTTAATGGAGAACTGGAAGAATAAGTCTATGTGGAACAACCACGAGGCTATGAGGAAAAGGAGAAGAAGACAAGGTCTATCATCTCCGAAAGGCTTTATACGGGCTGAAGCAAGCACCGAGAGCCTGGAACAGCAGAATTGATCGATATTTTCAGCAAAACGGATTTCAAAGAAGTCCGAGTGAAGCATCTTTCTACATCAAAAAGGGAGAAGGAAAAGATTTTCTAATGGTGTGTTTGTATGTTGATGACTTGATTTACACAGGTACAAGTCAACATATGATCGAAGAATTCAAAAGTACCATGATGAAAGAATTCGAGATGACGGACTTGGGACTCCATGAAATATTTTCTTGGGATCCAAGTGAAGCAGTCACCTGGAGAAATATTTATTTCACATGAGAAGTACATCGAAGATATGCTGAAAAGATTTCACATGGCAACGTGCGAACCAATCTCAACACCAATGGCGTTAAAAGAGAAATTACAACGCAATGATGGAGATGAAAAAGTAGATGGAAAGCTGTACAGAAGTCTCGTCGGGTCACTCATTTACCTGACACATACCAAGCCTGATATATGTCATTCAGTAAGTCTTATATCAAGATTTATGAATGAACCTAGCAAACTTCATTTTGTAGCAGCAAAAAGAATTTTGCGGTATCTTCAAGGTACAAAGAAATTGGGCCTGATGTACAAGAAAGAAGCAGAAAGCTAGCTGACTGGATCTACCGATAGTGACTGGGCAGGATCACTAGATGATCGAAAAAGCACATCGGGGTACATATTCTGCCTGGGTTCAAAACCCATTTCCTGGAGTTCAAAGAAGCAGAAAACTGTGGCATTATCTTCAACGGAAGCAGAATATATCACATCTACAGATGCAGCATGCGAAGCGGTATGCCTAAAAAGATTAATTTCTGATTTGCAGCAAAATGAAAATGGTCCAACCATTATTCATTGTGACAACATGTCAGCCATAGCCATGACAAAAAATGCAGTATTTCACGCAAGATCGAAGCATATCGAATTGCGTCATCATTTCATCCGAGACCTCGTCAACGATGGATTAATTGTGATGGAATTTATCAACACCGACGACCAGCCTGCAAATATCATGACAAAAGCGGTCACCCGTGAGAAATTCAAGAAGTTCAAGGAGCTACTCCAAATTGCAAATTAAGAGGGGGTGTTAAAAGGTAATTTGCAATATGGTAAACTTATCTAAAGTTGTCCCCATTGTCATCATCTGAAGGAGACATACAATAACTCATTAGTTAGAACTAGCTATCAAATTATGCAAGTTGGTTATGACATGAGAGGCTAGTTGATTGATGACAAGAAGATTCAACAACCGGTGAATTCTGCAGGCACCTCACATGTCCAGCAAATGAATTGAGAAGCTCAACTAGATGAGAAATAATGCATGGGACATATATATTAAAGACCATGTTTGCTTATCCATTCACGTCCACATCCAATGTCATGTAATAGTTATTGGTTCTTTCATATTCATTATATATATTAAATTGGTTTGGATATTAAATTGTATTTACCCTTATATATATGTAATGGGAGAATGAGAGTGTCAGAGAAAGAAAAAGAAAAGAAAGAAAGGCACAAGTGAGCCAAGTGCATCCTTCTCTGATTGTTAAAAACAATAGCCAGAAGAAGAAGGCATTGTTTGTTTGAGTGTATTTTAAAATTGAGTGATTAAACACCATATGTTTCCTTAGTGTTGATCCTAAATCATACCACATTTCCGCTAATCTCCAACAAACTTGGTATCAGAGCTAATACCTTTGTATCCTTTCCAAAATCCCCAACTTTCTAGCCTACACAAATTATCTCCAAAAGCCATGGCAACAAATTCATCACACACCATGTTTGCTACCTCATCAAATCAAATTCCCATTTTCGATGGAGAATCGTACGAGTACTGGAGTGCCCAAATGGAGCTTATTTTCATCTCTCAAGATCTGTGGGATATCGTCCAAGAAGGCTACGAAGATCCACAAGACGAGGATGAAGATTCCAAGAAACGAGCAGGCAAACAGACAAAGGAGTACAAGGAAAATGCCAAGCAAAATGCCAGCGCCTTGAGAATAATTCAGCAAGCAGTGAGCTAATCGATTTACCCGAGAATCTATGGCATCAAAAAGGCAAAAGAAGCTTGGGATGTCTTGCGTGAACAATTTCAAGGTTCTGAAAAGGAAATCTCTATCAGGCGCCAAAGTTTATGGCGATAGTTCGACAACTTGATGATGAAGGAAACCGACACCATCAAAGACTTCCATTCGCGTGTGGCGGAGACAGTCAATCAAATCAAAGCTACTGGTGACGTCATAGAAGAAAGGAAAGTCGTGGAGAGAATTCTCCGAAGCTTATCATCGAAGTTCGAACACATTGTAGTCGTGATAGAAGAAACCAAAGATTTGGCAAATCTACTAATGAGCGAGTTGATGGGCTCACTTGTAGCACACGAGCAAAGAATGAGTCGCTTCACCAAACCGCCATTGGAGCAAGCTTTCTCGTCAAAATTCAGCATGACGGAAAGTAAATATGCCAAATCGGAGCATGGCCGGAGAGGGGGAAACTCACAAGAAAGAGGAAGAGGAAGTTCCAATTACAGTGGAAACAACCGACACAATTATCAACAACAAAAATCAGGCTACACCGGCTCGAGTTGCATAATTTGAAAAAAGGCGGGTCATGCAACAAAAGATTGTAGATTCAAGTGCACCAAGTGAAGAATTCAAAACCACTCCCAGAGAGATTGGTGGTTCCAGAACAAGCAAGAAGAAGGCGAGTCAAGTAGCACCATAAGTGAAGAAAGCAATATGGTGGCCTTATCATGCTTGAATGGTGAGCAAAAGTCATAGCTTCCCTGGATGGTGGATAGTGGTTGCAGTAACCACATGACTGGAGATCTGGAGTCCTTCACCAACATTGATGACAAATACCGCTCTCAAGTCAAATTGGGAGACGGAAAGAAGCTAAAAGTGGAAGGAAAAGGCACAGTTGTTGTATGCGCAGAAGAAGGTAACAAAACGCTCATCCGAGACGTTTTGTATGTTCCAGAGCTAACTCTCAATCTACTCAGCGTGGGACAACTAATGCTGAAAAATTACAAGCTATTGTTTGATAATGGCGTGTGCGAGATTATCAACAAAGCTGACAATTTCATGGTGGCCAAAGTCCCAAGAATAATTCGATGGAGAATTGTACGAGTACTAGAGTGCCCAAATGGAGCCTATTTTCATCTCTCAAGATCTGTGGGATATCGTCCAAGAAGGCTACGAAGATCCACAAGACGAGGATGAAGATTCCAAGAAACGAGCAGACAAACAGACAAAGGAGTACAAGGAGAATGCCAAGCAAAATGCCAGCGCCTTGAGAATAATTCAGCAAGCAGTGAGCAAATCGATTTACCCGAGAATCTATGGCATCAAAAAGGCCAAAGAAGCTTGGGATGTCTTGCGTGAACAATTTCAAGGTTCTGAAAAGGAAATCTCTATCAGGCGCCAAAGTTTATGGCGATAGTTCGACAACTTGATGATGAAGGAAATCGATACTTCCATTCGCGTGTGGCGGAGACAGTCAATCAAAGCTACTAGTGACGTCATGGAAGAAAGGAAAGTCGTGGAGAGAACTCTCCGAAGCTTATCATCGAATTTCGAACACATTGTTGTCGTATGGGAGAATGAGAGTGTCAGAGAAAGAAAAAGAAAAGAAAGAAAGGCACAAGTGTACCAAGTGCATCCTTCTCTGATTGTTAAAAACAATAGCCAAAAGAAGAAGGCATTGTTTGTTTGAGTGTATTTTAAAATTGAGTGATTAAACACCATATGTTTCCTTTGTGTTGATCCTAAATCATACCACATTTCCGCTAATCTCCAACAAACTTGGTATCAGAGCTAATACCTTTCTATCCTATCCAAAATCCCTAACTTTCTAGCCTACACAAATTATCTCCAAAAGCCATGGCAACAAATTCATCACACACCATGTTTGCTACCTCATCAAATCAAATTCCCATTTTCGATGGAGAATTGTACGATTACTGGAGTGCCCAAATGGAGCCTATTTTCATCTCTCAAGATCTATGGGAGTCTGCAGAGGAACAAGATTGTGTAGATGCAAGCTATGTGGAATTATTAGGTCGATTGTCATTTCAATATTTTTATTCTCGTATTAATCATGACAAAGTAACAAACCCCTTGTTGTTCTTGAACTTAATTATGTTTTGGGTTTACATCGTTTCATTTCGGTTGGGTTTGGCAGACTCACTGTTTGTGAAGGAGATGAACAGCAAAAATGGAAGTGGTGCGAAGCGGCCAGAGCGCTCTCTGTACAGAATACAGTGCAAAATGTGTTCTTGAGTGTTGGTGAGTGTTGGTTCGCCATATAAACATGGAAGGAAGGAACACAAATCTGATCATTTTTGCATTAATTGCTGCAGGGAAGAGTACAACCAATGGTGGAAAGAACAACAAAGTGAACCAGGAAGGTCCGTGGAGAAATGGAGGTATTTGTAAGGCCTTTCGAAAGAGATAATGCCGAAACATCCCACATTCCATCCATGGCTGTGCTGAGCAAGAAGGTACAAAATCTTACTTTCCAAGCATTATGTTAGAAACACGTTTTCTAAGGAAAACGAGTTTCTATATTATCATTATTATTAGCTATTATTAAATATGGTTAGTAGTCTTTTAGTAGAATAAGGTTTAGTATTAGGTTTTCACATCTTTCGTTATAAATATGTACTTTGCATTTTATTCAGAAGAAAGCAACAACAATTATTCATAAAAGTATCTCAAACCCGAATCTCTCTCAATTTCGTCACCTATCCCTAGGCTGTCGGCCATTCTTCTCCTCGATCCCCAATTTCCTCTTCTAAATCCCTAATCCCCAATTCTGTTCTTCCCCAATTCTATCTCAATCCCTAAATATCTATCAATTCCCAATCTCATCAATCCGACCGTTGGAACCCTAGAATTAGGTTTCTAACATTTGGTATCAGAGCCATGGTCGAAAATATGACTTCGTCACAACTCTCAACCAGGGACAAGCTCTACAACTTGAAGGTTTATTGTGAGCAAGCAATGGAAGCCTTAGATAAAATAATACAAAAGGTCGAGAAGAGGGAGGAGTGGTAGTTGTGGGCGTGGGAGTCTAAACGACTCCTAAACTCGCCACGGCAAATCAAGCCGCCAACCACCACCATTGCGGTGTCACCGCCACCACCAGCTACTGTCGAAGACGGAGATCCAGATGCTGAGATCAAGGATGAGCAGCCGCAAAACTTACTTTTCGCGACGGTCGAACCAGCGCTGATGGAGGAGGTGAAGGAGAAAGGCTGCGACATCGCCTCTTCTTGGGCTATTCAGGAACCCATTTGGGGGATCCGGTCGCCGGTCACGAAGGGAGAAGGGGCGTCGCGGTCGCCGGCAGTTCCAGTCGCGGCGATGAAGGCTAGGAAGGCGGAGCTGGGAACCGACGCGACGGGGACGGGCATGCAACTGCTGGCGGCGTTGGGTCTCGCATCGAACGACGTGGAGAGGAAGTCGAGAAGGCCGGAATCCCGGTCAACATCTAACCGCCAGCAAGAGTTCTTGATGGCGGGAATGGGGTCGAAGATGGTGAGGGAGGCAGCCAAGAAAGAGGACGACCATCTTCTTCCTGAGAACCCTAGGGCAGTAATCGGGGTCGTGGAGCAGCAGCGGCAACAACGAGTCGGGCGGGCCACGCTCGAGTTCTTGGGCCGAACAGATCGGTAGGGCGGGCTAGCACGAACGGGCCCTCGGCTGCATACACACAGACAAGCAGAGGGACTAAGGGTTCGTTTGCTTCATGGATTTGGATGTGGGATTTGGTTCTTAAATCCAACACATGAAGGATTTGTCCAAAAGCCATTGTTTGTTGAGCCAAAATGAAGGTACCAAATCTGTGGGGTCCACTGATTTGGGGCTCCAAATCCGTGGGCCCCACGGATTTGTAAATCCCACCTATTTACTTGGGATTTGAAGAAGGGAACAAATCCTTCATGAAAAATGACTTATATATCCCTTTATAATTTATTTATTCCAACTTTACCCGTCATTAGTTATTCCTTGCACTACTACAATTGCCTCTTATAGTTACAAACTTAGCCATGAAAAGTAATATTATAGCTAATAACATGCTAATGACTACATAATCTATGCCATAAGCTAATAACATGCTAATTTATTCCTCATGGCTATTTGTGAAGGTCTTTGTCACACATTTATTTTGCGATAAACGTATGATTATTTTGATTCAAATTTTGATTTGGAAGGCAAGTAATATCCTTTAGCTACAAACTACATTTGTTGTTAAATAGTAATTCTAACAAACAAATTTTAGCCAAGAATTGTAAGATTAGAACTATTTATTGTGATTATCTACACATTTTAATATCTCGTGGCTACTAATTTTACCAACTTGCTATAAAATGTCAATTTAAAAGCACAAATTAACAATATGACCACAAGAATAAAATTAGAAACACAAGTAAAGTTATATAAATCTAACATGAAGAAGGGTAGTAAGGTAATATACATCTTAAAGATATAAATCCATAACCCATAAATCCATGATCAAATCAACTAAGCAAACAATGGACTCTTCCCAAATTCGTAATGCAACAAATCCCTAACAAATCCTTGGGTTTTTAAATTAAAAACCTTCATTTTCAAATCCATAAACGGCCCCTAAATAATGAAGATGGGCCTCATATAAGCCCTATGGAATCACTTTTACATAGTGTGGGCTTGAATATGAAGAAAGAAGGATTTATGGGCTTAGATGAGCACTCTGATACTTACTTTGTGGATTTTGGAAAAGGGGGCGGACAGTCATTAGGCTATGGCTACTACGCTAGCCACGTGGATAAGGAAGAATTCATTAGAGTCGGAGTTGCTGGCGTGAGATACGTTCGAGTAGTGGATCACGATTGGAAGAAAAGAAAGCGCAAGAATGGAGGAGGCAAGACGTGGATTGCACGGTAGACTTGAAGAAATGGGTCAAACTGATCAACCTTGAGGGCAAGGTTGGTCTCAAGGGGGATGGGATGTTAGAAACACGTTTTCTAAGAAAAACGAGTTTCTATATTATCATTATTATTAGGTTTTATTAAATATGGTTAGTAGTCTTTTAGTAGAATTAGGTTTAGTATTAGGTTTTCACATCTTTCGTTATAAATATGTACTTTGCGTTTTATTTAGAAGAAAGCAAGGACAATTATGCATAAAAGTATCTCAAACCTGAATCTCTCCGAATTTCGTCACCTATCCCTAGGCCGTCGGCCATTCTTCTCCTCGATCCCCAATTTCCTCTTCTAAATCTCTAATCCCCAATTTTGTTCTTCCCCAATTCTATCTCAATCCCTAAATATCTATCAATTCCCAATCTCATCAATCCGACCGTTAGAACCCTAGAATTAGGTTTCTAACACATTAGAGAACTGAGAATGTGCTTTTCTTATATGTGAAATTCGAGTTGCCTGAATGTATACTTTATCTATGAGCCAGCTTCTAACAGACCTTCCAGTTCAAGGTGTCATAAACCCACAATTAAACCTGTAGATGGGTTTACTTCACGGCCTGATTTTCTTCAAGTCATTGTCACAAAATATGCGGAAAACACTGGTCTGGTAGGTTGCCGCAAGCAAACAATGCTTTGTTCTATTGATTCATCTAGTGCAAACAACTGAAGATGATGTTTTTTTCTCTTTTGCAGAAGATGCATGGAGGGTTTGTTCATAGGCACATCACCAACTGGAATGAGAATATGGTGGAGCTTAAACTTAGAGAAGAAACGTGGTTCGTGAATATTATGTCACGCCATGGTGTTCCTACTCTTTGAGAAGGGTGGTGCCGATTTGTGCGTGATAACTCTCTGAAAGCTGGTGACACATGTATATTTGTGGGCACTGCCATGGAACATGTGCTCCAAGTTCACATTTTACGTAGATGAATGATGCTTGTGAATTGGAAAGTTTGAAACATCTGTTAGATTGAGTATCAATGTATCATGGTAGGCTATGTAAGGACTCCATTTAGATCCTGACCTTGTCACTAATTCTAGGATGTTGATGTTAGGGGATGTTTCTGGTAATGTTATATGCACTTCTATTGGTTGACATTCATCTGCAACGTGTTTCTGTAGAAAGAATCAGTTATACTAATAGCCATTTCGATATGTAGAGCAAGAACATTCCCTGCCAGTGATTTTACGAGTAATATTTCTTCTAGGGATGAGTCGTGGGAAAGATACAAATGCGGATCGGCTGAGGCAACAGTGCTTTTCTTCCATTGACGATCAAGCTTTCTTGAAGACCTCTTGTCGTTGATACACAGATTAATTCCCTAAATACAGTAATAATTAAAAATAATTCCCAGAATACATAACTTTTATAAAAAATTCCCAAAATACCAAAGTTTGACACGGTTCGAGTTCAACAAACTCGAACTAGTACCAGATCGACTGCCAACAAATCGATCCACGTGCATCGAGGATGGAGGACTCGAACAGCAGGACCTGGATCGGCTGCCAACAAATCGATCCACGTGCATCGAGGATGGAAGACTCGAACAGCAGGACCTGGATCGATGACCTGGGCAGCGTTCCACCCTAGATCGATGTATCGGGAAGTGATCTAGGCCGTTCGATTGCTTAACCCGCGATGAAGTGGTGACGCGGATCGAGTGGGGAGAACTTGATGCAGGTGGATCGAGCACCTGGGAATCGTTCTGCTTGACGCGGATAGATGACGTCAGACCCGCTCCGTCATAGATCGAGTTTGCATAACTCGATCTGGTTCGTTCGATTTGACAACAATCGAACTCCTTTTGACGCGGATCGAAGGCAGCAAAATCGATGTCGTGGTTCGAGTCCCCTAAACTCGATCCACCTCCTCCCACTGAACCTATAAATACCACCTTCCATTCCACCAAATCTCACACCACTCCATTCTTCTTCCTCTCTTCCTCCCACCACTCTTGAAGAAAAAAATATGCTCTGTGGTTGCGGCTAAGCGCGATCTTCCGCATAAGATTTTTTTTCTTTAGTTTGGTACTTCTATCACTCAAAATTGCCGAGATGGATCCAAGTATTTACGATCCTAGATTATACATTCAAGGCGGACCGCGAGAAACCGATTTGTTGGATGAGCAACCTTACCATCGGTCTGAAAGTGTTTGGGCGGCAGATCCGGTAAGCACTTCCTCATGTACTTTTCTTTTTTTAAATGTGATAGTGTTCTTCTAATTTTTTTTAATAATAATTAAGGTTTTTTTCCTACAGGAACAACTTGACGTAATCACCCATTGGTCGCTATCTCGCTTGCCTAAATGGGATGATCGTATCGAGCTCTTCATTGAAAGAGCGCGATTGATGAGGGTGAGAAAGTTTGTGGGGATGGAAATGGACAACAACCTTCTTACGGCAATGGTGGAAAGATGGAGAAAAGAAACGCACACATTCCACCTTCTAGAGGGAGAGATGACGATTACGTTGAAGGACGTAGCCATGCTGACAGAGCTTCCAATCGATGGTGATGCAATAATAGAAAGTTCACAGAAACCATTGAATGGTTGGGGCCAATTTATAAGCGAGCGTTTAGGTATCAACATCCGCGAGGAAGCACAAGAAGGTCGTCGTGTACCACCTCTACACAAGTCTATGCTATCGATACCTTGGCTAGTGAGGACCGTTGGGGAATTACCGGATGATGCCACGGATGCTCAAATAGAGAGGTATGCTCGCATCTACCTGATTTTTTTGGTTGGAGGATTTTTGTTTCCGAACAAGTCTGGTGGAAATATGCATTGTATGTGGCTTTGAGTTCTTTTGGAAGATTGGGACGAGATTGGGAGAAAAAGTTGGGGATCTGCTTGTGTTGGCGATGATATATTCGGAGTTGTGCAAGTGCACGGATCCGAAAACAAAGCAAGCGGGTGGTCCCATGTTCATCCTCCAACTATGGGTTTGAGAGCACCTTCCTACTTTCGCTCCGATCTGCCCTGCCAACAGTTGGGGTCCCGATGAGCCACTACGATAATGGGCTTATGGTGCTAGATGGATTGGAGCTATCACGAGACACACCTCTCTAGACGGGTACCGCCAACATCTTGACCGTGTAGAATTCAACGAGGTAACATTCTAGCTTATGATTATGAATGCTAATTTATTTGTTGAAGTTATTGGTCTTAGCCCATGATTTATTTTTATGATTATGAATAACTTTTTATTTGTTGAAATTATTTGTCTTAGTCTTAGCCTATGATTTATTTTTATGATTACGAATTCTATTTTATATGTTGAAATTATTTGTCTTAGCCCATTATTTATTTTTATGATTATGAATCCTATTTTATTTGTTGAAATTATTTGATTCGATTTTAATTTATATGTTGTGTTGAAACTTAGGTGGAGTGGGATCCGTATCCGAACGGAGCAAAGGATTTGTACGAGTGACGATACCCTGAGGATCGTCGACTCTGGTCGTGCAAGTTATTCTGTTTCTTTAGAGTTGTTAAGTTGTTCTATTTCTAATGACGTTAAGTTTTTCTATTTCTTTAGAGTTGTTAAGGTGTTCTATTTCTAATGACGTTGTTAAGGTGTTCTATTTCTCTAGAGTTGTTAAGTTGTTCTATTTCACAACATAAAATTCAAATTACAACATAAATTTCTTAAATGACAACATAAAATTCGAATTACAACATAAATTGTCAATTATCAGTCGATGGCCCTAGACACTGGCGCCTATCATGCCCTTCAACTCGACATGCAGAGCACTTCTTCGGGCGGCGTCGCTGTGTCCTTGATCTATCCATTTCATTTGCAATTCGGTTAACTCTAGGTCGACCATTGGTACGCTTCATGTGCTCGGGAGGGTACACTACAGGTCCATCATACTAGGGCCAATATGCTTCATGAGCTAAGGGAAAGAACGACCCTTCCCAAACTCTGACCACGTATGGAGTCTTGTAGTATGGACTAACAAATATCAAATGGTCCAAATTAACGCTTCTCGCAGCTGCATATGCATGAGAGCAGGCAGGTGTCTCCCTTGAAACTTCCCACAAGTACACTCTCCTATTCCATTCTTTGCATCCAGTATAACTGTTTGAGCATGACCACCCTTGGAACTATCTAGTCCACTTCCTGTTACTACTGTTGAAGCGGGAATCTCTTCGACTAAATAAAGTCACCTTATGCCATTTTTCCCTTTCCGACCATGGTTTCATATCATCCGTAATCTTCTTTGGGATGTAGATTCCAGCATTCATCATCTTATATGCTGCTTGGTAGCGTTCAACGAACCATGTCACCGTACGAAAGAAGGTATGCAAGATTATAGATGAGATAGGCATTGCACGAAGACCAACATACAAACCATTGAGGCACTCACCCATGTTCGTTGTTGTTATTCCATACCGATACCCTTCATCTTTATGTAACGTCCACCTCTCAAAAGGATGAGTTTCTAGCCAATCTGCACCTTCAGAGTGGACCTCCCTTATGCTCTTCATTTTGTCTACAAACTTTTGAGTCTGAAAAGCAATAGCTACAATAAAGCAAAATAAGGTTAGTAAAGGAGTATATGTATCCAACCAATTGATATCATCACAACATCTTATTTGTTCTTACCAGCATGCCAAACTGCACGTTGTCCATAAGTTCTACCAAAGTGCTTCCCGTATTTGCTTTTGAAATGTCGTATGCACCAGCGCCACTTCCACCCTAGCTCCTCGGGCAGGTCGTACAAAGCATGTGCAATTCCATGGTGTCGATCAGAAAGTATGGCAATGTCATTCCGTTGAGTGACACGAGTGTATAGTTGGGGAAAAAACCATGCCCAACTTAAGTTGTTCTCCGATTCGACTATAGAAAAAGAAAACGGGAAAAGTTGCATACTGCCATCAACACTAGTGGCAACGAGTAGAGTGCCCTTGTATTTTCCGTTCAGAAAGGTGCCATCAACTTGGATTATTGGCAGACAATGGGTGAAACCATCAATGCATGGTTTGAATGCCCAAAATAGTCGCTTAAACACGCGTTTAGCACCCCCATAGAAATCTTCGTAACTAGGCACAAAAGCAGACCCAGGATTCTTGTCCACCATTGCAAGAATTAAACGAGGCATGTTAGCAAATGACTCTTCCCAATCGCCATACACCTCTGCCATAGCTTTTTGCTTCCCATGCCATGCTTTCTTGTAATTGATGGTATAGCCATGTCGATTCCTCACTTCAGCGATGACACTCTTCACGGTGATCCCAGGTTGTGCCTCAATCAGATGTTTGATTGTTTGTGCAACCTTCCTTGCACTCAATTGTCGGTGATCTAGAGAAATCAGTGACGACCTACAAGTGTGGTTGTTGTCTGTCTTACGAATGAGCCAATCCCCATTTCTTTTAACATATGCTGCCCAAACATGCCACATGCATCAGTCTCCATGGTTCTCGCAACGAACATGAATTTGTTTAGTGTCATAAGTGATGACACGATATTGAAAGCTTCTTCGCATAGCAGTTTCTTTCAATGCATCGACCACCTGAGGCTTTCCTCCAAATGTTTGGCCAACCACGAATCCAGAATCAGGAGTCCAGATAGGTATAGGAGGGAGGTCAGGATCGTCGTTGTGAGCATAGAGAGGATGTTGTGGCACCATCGTGTAGTGAGGTGTGGGGGGCTCAAATTCCCCCTCATCAACTTCCAGATCTTCACCATCTGAACTACTCATCGATTCTAACTCTTCATCTTCCACGTCGATTGCCTCGCTACTGTACGGAGGACTTGGTTTATCCACATACGGATCATTGTTGATGCTAGATGCTGGTGTAGATGCTTGTCTGGGTGCCCTTATGTAATCCCATTCTTCACCCCATACAGGCCACTCCTGTCCATCATGTTCCACCAATGGACCAGTTGCAGTTCGATCCTCGTATGTTGGCCATGGTGCATCATGCAGGACTCTGAAATCTCCTGAACCGGAAAACCTCCCGACCCTTCACCTTGTTAGGTATAACCGCCGCCACCATATTGGCCAAAAACTTCTGTCTCGACATACACCTCACCAGTTGGAAATTTATTCTCTGCAATAAATCTCGCCATCATATTAATGTCATCATCGTCAGACAAAACTGATCCTTCATATACAAGTGCATAATCCTTGTAAACCCGCATACGGTAAGTCATCTTGCATACTCTTCCCCCTCCTATGCAACATCGTTCCGCACAAATATGACTGAGTTCTTGCCAAGTAAATATGCTCTCAATCCGGACAGTACTTGATTCACCATCTTCGTAGTCAATACTATCATGAAAATGTGTAATTCAACCATTCCACCGAATCTTTAAGTCGAATTTTCGAAATTTTCTACCCATTTCTGCAGTTTATAGAAGCAGCTCATTACATACAGTACAAACAATACTAAATTAATCCAAAATTCTAATATGCTCATTCAAACAACGTAAGCAGAACTTACCTCCAAAATTTTTCTTCTTTGCTCAGCTATGGTGCTCCAGCAGCTGCAGTTTGTGTTTGGAAGAAAGAAGATAGAAAGGAAGAGAGCTGCCAGAATGTGCTAAGTGATAGCTTTTATCCTCGTAAACTGATGGAGTGGTTCGAGTCCAAAAAACTCGAACTACACTAGTTCGAGTCCATTAAACTCGATCTAGGGCACCCAATAATTTTACCCCTGCACCCTATTCTGGAGCATGTCGGACCGAAAGCGACCGGACAGAATGATTGAGCAGTGGTTCGAGTTCAGTGTAATCGAACTACCCTAGTTCGAGTCCCTAAAACTCGATCTATGACAACAAAGAATCTTATCCCTGCAACCATATCCTGAAGCATGTCGGTGGACCAGTGGTTCGAGCCCATTGGAATCGATTTTGGTTGTTCGAGTTTTAAAGCATCGATCTTGTGCAGATATGGAT